AAAAGACTCTCGTTACAATTTACTACGATGACTCGAGCTGCAATCACTATGCAAAGTAAAGAAAAGTATTCTGTATTTATACGAAAAGAGATGTGCATGTACAGGCTACAAAATAATAAGTAAAACATGTTGGTTTAGCCTGGTTTTGGCTTCTATAAGACTCTTAAATTATTTTGCTACAATAGATGATAACCGCAATGCTGCAGTTTACTTTACGTATGCAATGTAGAGTATTTATATGCAAACGCTACGCCTTGCACGGCTATTACTTTTGTTACAATATTATAATTTACTACCCTGTGTGGCATTTAATTAAGGTTTCTATAGCATGCGCGCGAAATTGAACCTTTTATAAACGCAGAGCCAAGGGACAGAGCCTAACTGGTCGCTGCATGCACGCCCTAGTAATGGGCGGGTAAAACTACGTCAAAAGTGAAGAATTTAAAGTATTACCTTTGAAGACGCTGTCAGCTGAATTTGTGTAAGGTTTTCGGTGAGCCTATAGTGTGTACAACCATGTGACTCAAAATGTCTTGAGATGTGAATAACAATGAAACAGCCGCCATGTTGGTTGATCTAACAAGAGAAGCTATATATGGAAAAATGCTTTGATATCGCCAACCAACATGGCGGCTATGACCGTTATAACATGCGCATCGTCTATATAGCGGGACGATAACAACAAAAACGATACTGATTTAAACTAAACAAAGTTGGTGTAGCTATAGAGTTTTTATTTCTGTCCTCCCTTGGAAAATTTGGGTTTACAAATAATTCAGTGAGCTGAGGCTGGAAAAGAAAAAGAAAAAGAAAAATGAAAAGAGAAAATGAAAGCAGGAAAGAAAGGGAGAAAGGAATAAAGAAAGGATGCAACAAGAAAGATGGGCGAAAAAACGAGGCTGGAAAAAGAATAATTCAAAGAATTCGTTAGACAAATGAGACTGTAAAGTCAGGAATAAACGATGCCAGGGCTGGGGCGTAGTGATAAGCGAAAAAAAAATCTGTAAGTTTTCTATTTTGCTGCATGGGTTACCTGTGGATTTGGCGGGAATTTTCGCTTTAAAAAACGCGTGTGCTACTCAAAGGATATAAAACGTATATAATTGGAAGTCTTGGAGATTTCTTTTCTTCTCTTCTCTTCTTATATTCTCTAAAGTCTCCTCTCTTCTAATCTCATTTAGTTCCATCTCGTCTCATTTTATTCCACTCCATTCCATCTCATATTACCTTATCGATCCATCCTTTCATTAACCCCACATACCCATTCATCCATCTCATCCCATCTTATTCAATCCCATCTCAATCCATTTCTTCCATCCTTCCATTAGCCCCCATTCACTATTCATCTATCTCATCCCATATTATCTAATCTCATCCCTTTCCATCCCATTCCATCCCATTCCATCCCATTCCATTCTCATCTCATCCATCCTTCCATTAACCCCACCAACCACCAATGAATAATTATTTGCAACTTAAGTGTATAATTTTCTTAGCAAAACAATACCATTGAAAATAAAGGAATAAATAAACAATTTAAAACAAATGTGTAACATTTAACAGTTTGATCTATTTAGTTAACTAATTTAGTTAAATGTTACTGAATTACAATTTCCTAAATGCTTAATGGCTCAACTTTGCTAGTAAGGGGGGGGGGGGGTGGCAGGCAAAAATTTGAAATGTCCAGAATAATTCTCAACACCCCCCCCTTAAAGTCATGCAAAAAGATATGCAAAAAAATATGATCCCCCCTAAGCAAGGCTTGTAGCTTCTTCCAAAAATTGTGCATCCCCCTATTTTTCTGATAAAAATTTGCCCATCCCCCCCTTTTTCCTACCAACATTTTCCCGATCCCCCCTCAATTTCACCTGACCCCCCTCTGCCATACATTATGAACACAGCCTTAGTTTTGATTCCTTTTTTAACCATGACTGAAAAGATTTAGGAATTAGTTATACTAGCTTAATTAGGGTCCTTTTCTTATTCAAGGAGGTGGTCCCATGCACCAGCCTGATTATTCCAACCAAATAATTTCACTTTAAAACTATAAATCTGGCTTCGAGGCATTTTTAGCTTTCCATATAGCTTTTTTTTTCTGAAAGCTGCATTTTCCTTAAATACTTAATTTATAAATTACTATGGGGCGAGGTCAAAACAATGGTCCAAAATAGGGACCCAATTTTATGAATTAAGATGGTGGGTACCAGTACATACCCCCTCCCCCCTCAGAGACCTCTTCAAATGCTTGATACTGGACGCCTGTAGTGGCAATTTCTATACACAAATATGATTTTTAGCATACATGCAGACAGACAGTCCATTAATTTTTGTGATATGGCTTTAAGTTTTGGAGATATTTGGGGGGAAAATCTAAGATTTCACTGCCAGAGGTGGTGGGTACTGGTACCACCACCACGTTTATTTATTCATTAGCTACTTAGTTATATCAGTTTCTTTTTAAATCTCTTCTTTAAGAATTAAATATGGAAGGGTTCCTTGGATATTGATGGAATTCATTGCTGATTGAATATGATAATTTGTTTTCTTGCTCAAGAGTTAATTCTATGTATTTTTTTTTCATAAGAGAAAAAAATTGTAAGAAATATACTCCCAGTTTTTCTCAAAAATCTGAGAGAGAACTTGCATTTGGAAATGATGTTGCAATCTTATCAAATTATATCAATGTCTTTCTTCTTGCTGTTTAAAAAATATATTAATTTAATTTTTATTCAAAACCTATTTTCAAACTAGTTAATGTATGAATATAAATACTTAATTTTACCATTGCATGCTCTTTTTCTTTTAAAGATTTTGTGCAAAATAATTTGCGCTTTCTTGTTGTTGCATTTGCTGAGGAATAAAGAAAGAAAAGTAAAAAAAAAAAGGTTGAGATGAGAAAGAAAAAATGGAAGGAAAATGGAGGTAGGAAGTAAAAGATAGAATGGAAATAAAAGAAAGAATAGGAGAGAAAGAAAGAGAGAAAGAAAAGACAACAGCAAAGAAATAACTGGAAAAAGAAAAGAAGAAAAGGAGCCTTAGGAGAATATAGCCAAAAAGTAAAAGAATGAAAAAAAAAAAAAAAAGAAAGAAAGAAAGAAAAGGAGAGAAATAAAAGAGAACAGAAAAAAAAACAGAAAAGAAAAATTAAATGAAAGAGCAAAAATAGAAAGAAAAGGACACTTAGAAGGGAAAGAAGAACAGAAGAACATTGGAAATGCACAAAAAAGAAAGAAGAGAAAAAGAATAGAAAGGAAAGGAAATGAAAAGAAGCAAAAAGAAAGGAAGGAATATCTTACTCAAAATCCATCCTATTCCTTTCCCATCAATTTTCTACGTCTTACATCTTTTCCAACCAAACAGATCCACATACCCCCTCCCTCTAGATCTATTCTCCACAAATATAAAATCCAACCAGCAATCCAACTCTTCAACCCAATTTTCACTAGGCGTCCCATGTCCATCGCAAAAAAACCCAAAAAACCGCGCTCAGCGAACTCTCCTCATTAGCAATTCAAATGAGGGTGGGACTTCCAAATATGGGGGTGCGGCCATGACCTTATTTGGGTTGCACTTGTGGTCTGCTCCCAGCAGCCATTGTAGACTGTAGAAGAAGGTCCGCCAGGCGACGCCCTTACATCAATTGCCAAGTTTGATCGCCAAAATTTTGCCTTTTTAGAGCGATTTCAAGCCCGATCGCGGCCCAAGCATTGAGGTGTATCTCTTAGCTACAGTTAAGCCGTGTCGCTGCTGAATCTAGTGGCGAACGGTTGGGGAAAGTTGAAGATTATGGATTGTTGTTGTCTAAGTGACGAGGCTAAAGAAAGGAAAAGAATAAATGCTGAAATTGAAAAGCAGATTCGGCAGGACAAGAGAAATCAACGTAGAGARCTCAAACTGCTTCTGCTAGGTAATTTAAGGGTTAAACTGGGTGTCTGTGAGTGGAGGGATGAAGGATATGGCGCTGGAATGATCGAGCGAAGAGGCGAACGAACTTCGTTATGGTATCCTTGTGTTTATATGGTGGAGATATCATTGTGTTTGAAGTCAAATTTCTCTCGTTATAAGCTTGTGCCAGCCGCTTCGACTCCTATTCTGCTAAGCTAGATGCCTTGGTGGATGTGTGAACGATTTTCAATCGAAAAGGACGATTCTATGAAGATCTGTACTGAGTTCTTTCGCCTCTAATGACTTGTGTTTGAGGACGAATGGAGGAGAGAGCTTGTTACCTTGTGGGGTTATGCATCCATGGCCATCTTGCTGCAGTTGGTCACGACTAACCCTAACTTTCCTCACCGTTTTTGAATATTCACAGGGTTAACCGTGGTTTTTGATTTCTGCAATAGGTACTGGGGAATCGGGGAAAAGCACATTCATAAAGCAAATGCGAATTATTCATGGCCAGGGATACAGCGATGATGATAAAAGAGGTTATATAGCCCTCGTATACCAAAATGTGATCACTGCCATGCACAGTTTAACACGTGCTATGGACACTCTCAAAATACCTTACAAAGACCCAGCAAACCCGGTAAGTATTCCACTGATTTTATATCCACAAACCAGCATTTCGAGTCCCTCCATCACCCCATGAAAGTTTAGACTTGATTGTCTGTGCATTTGGTGGTTGACGAGCGGCGAGTCCTAACTTGCTCTCACTCGTCTGCCTACTTCGAGATATGTTTGTGAGTTTCCTTCTTGCTTTTAGGAAAGGGCCAACTACATAAGAACAGTCGATCCTAAAAATGTTACCACTTTCGAGAAGGAGTATTATGAGGCCACAAAGAACCTATGGGTYGATGCAGGAATGCAAGAATGTTACGATCGGAGAAGAGAATATCAGCTTAGCGACTCYGCCAAATAGTAAGTTTAAAACCATTCACGAAAGAATAAAATTATTTCTTCGCTCTGTGCTAGATACATAGAGCCTCCCAAGGCCTAGAAACCGAATTTATAGACTATAATGTCGGTTTCTAGACATGGGGGGAAGTTTGGTCGAGGAGAATGAGAAGCAAAGGCTTAAAGATCAGCCTTGTCTTCGCTCGATTTATTGTCAAAATTGAACATTGCAATGTCAACATTGATCTCCTCTCTCGTTGGAGGAAAAAAAATTTTCGATCATATTCTATCCCTGATTKCTACACCTCTGTAGGCGAGTCTAGGATTTTTAAACTTCAAAATACGCCCTCGAAAATTACTCAAAATATTTCCTTGATGGAGTGATCGAAATTTTTGGTCATGTGTTCGATTGCTGGTTTGTTGCTTTCAAGGTGAAATGAACAAACTCTAGATTTTTAGCTAGGTTCATCTATTTCTAGAATAGATTATTCAAAGCTGGAACGAAAATATTCTTTCCTAGCTTTCGAATTAAAATCTAAAAACACCATGTATTCAAAATCCATCCTCAACTGTTATAGATGAACCTTCTAGTAAGACGAAGATCTAACGACGTTGGTCGATGTCTTTCTTTCTCYATATAGTGATGTTATTTTTGATATTTTTTAGCTATCTTACGGATTTGGACCGTCTAGCAAAACCAGATTATCTTCCAACTGAGCAAGACGTCTTGCGGGCGAGGGCACCAACATCGGGAATTATAGAATACCCCTTTGATTTGGAAACGATCATTTTTAGGTAAGACATGAAATAATTTCTTTTTTTCCTTCCCTCCCTTTGAGCTTGTTCCTGGCGTTGTATGTTCGTACTTTTAATCTGTACTTTTAGAAGTCCACTATGGAAATATTTAAATGTTAAGGCAAGATAAATTGTGAAAAATTAGCAGTTTTTGATGTTGGGATAATATTAATTCTGTTGCTCAATAGTGAATACAGCTACACAAACTAGTCAGAAAATCCTCTCCATCTGCATACTAAAACAGTTTCTTCCTACAAACTGTATCTTTTAACCTTTTAGAACCAAAACTCAGGCAGAAAACTTTAAAATTTCCATCATAATTCCTTTRAAAAATCCTGGATTTGAAATGATTGTCTTTTGAGCTGCTAACTTCCATATAGTCGTTTCTTCCACAATTTCCTCCATGAGAAGGCTCTATTGTATGCCTTTCAAAGTAATTTCAGTTTTGGGCTTGAACTGGCTTGATAGTTTCAACTCCTTTTGGCTTCAGAGTGAATAGCATTTGTTCAYGTATTTGTATCATCTTCCAAGGAATATTTCCCAACTTTTTAAAATCCTTTTTTYGCTGCTCAACTTCCAATCAGCCTTGCTAAATTCCCCAAAAATATAACAGAAAAAATTAAATTTGTTCTAGCTTTCCACCCACATATTCTTTTATTCAATGCACTATTATGCCAAATGATTATTTCCAAAARCTATTCACTTCAAATAAGTTTGAAATTTATTTCATAGAATATATCACTCACTCCCACATATAGCTATGCTTTTATCTTATATTCCTTTTAAAATATTTTGATTTATAAATTGTACATTTGCCATAAAAATCCAATTTTTGACCTCTATTTCAGCCTTCAAATATCATTCTTAACTTCTTTGCATAGCACTATCTACATTTTCATTTTTTATACTTTATTTCAAGTTTTCTCTGAAGTTCATTCTTATATGATCTTATATGAATATCATTCTTCGTGTTTTATTAAGAATTCAACTTTTGTCATATCCCTTTGTGAAAATAAGTTTCTTTTAACTCTTTGAATTTTTTTGTAACTTTGAGAATTGATAATTGTGAAATGGTAAACATTTGAATGATTAGCTTAGGTCCATAGTTCTTCATTTTTCTTATACATAATGTTGTTTTATAAACTTTCTGTTATATAATATTATTTTATAATCTTGTGAGCTTGAATACCGTAGGTAGCAAAATAGCTTAATTTGACATACATTAATACTGATCGCACGAGTTCAACTAGAAAAAAATCGTACCTTGTAATCTACCAACCATGCATGCCTTATAGCTATGCCAAATTTTCCATAAATTTTCTTATTTTGTAAAGTTTTAAATGCATAATTTGCATACAGCCTCTCTTTATATTTGAGAAGAGTTGCATTTCGGTTATCTCCTGTGCTCTCCGACGAAGGACTAGCGTCTGAAACGTCAGTTTTTTCATCTTTTCACGGTGTATAATTTACCTTTTTATCATTACTGTTTCATTAGAAACAACGAAGCAGCTCACACTAGTTTTTAGCTAGTTATCTCTTCTGCTCTTAGGGTTTTTCTCTGGGTTCTCCATTTTTCTTCTTTCTGCAAAAATCATCTATTGCTAAGGCTCATTGTTATGTTTGAGTAAAGTTGCTTGTTGGTTATCTCCTGTGCTTCAAAGATTTTTCTCTGAGTTCTCTAGTTTCCCCCCCCCCCCCCCCCCCCCCCCCCCCGTGGGGCTCGCTATCATGTGAGTAGNTCCTGTGCTTCAAAGATTTTTCTCTGAGTTCTCTTTTTTTCCCCCCCCCCCCCCTCTCCCCCCATTGGTGGGGCTCGCTATCATGTGAGTAGAGTTGCCTTGGTTTACTCATGTGCTTTTAGGGTTTTTCCTCATTTTTCTCAGATATTAGTGGTCTCTTCTACTCTCAAATTCGAGTACAATTAAAAATTATCATTATTATCATCATCATCATCATCATAAGAGCAGTGCAAATATTAAGGGTTTAAATTTGTTAAACTGTTAAAATGTATATAGCTAGATAAATATATGTAGTTTTGCAGCAATAAATTTGTTATCGAAGAAAACAATACAATCTTGAAGAAATGTACCTCCATTGGTATTGTACTAGAAACCTTAAAATGTTTTCGGTACCCTGGGCTATCTATGTCAGTATGGCAAACTCAAAAGCGAAACACTGAAACAACCTCTGGGCTGATCTAAGTCAGGGCATGGCYATCTCAAAGTTTAAACCCTGAAACAATCTTTGGGCTTATCTAAGTCAGGGCATGGCTAACTCACAGTTGAAATCTGAAATAGCCTCTGGGCTGATCTATGTCAGGGTACAGCTAACTCACCGATCGAACCCTTAAACAACCTCTGGGCTGATCCAAGCTGGTGCATGGCTTACTCAAAGATCAGACCCTAAGAYGACCTCTGTGGCAATATAAGTCAGGACAGGGCTAACTTACCAATCCAAGATGAGTTGAGCATGTTAGGTTTTGTTCAAAAGGAAAACTAGAGAACCTAGAGACAAGCTCTTGAATCAAGTGAAAGATCTGATAAACTCTACTAACATGTGATGCTGAGTCCAGGAATCAAACCTGAGACCCCAGAGGTGAGAGGCAATCTTGTGCACAAAAGCTACACAACCCTTGATCAGRGGCTCCATTAATTTTTAATACAATAGAAGAAGGTCATGAACTAGCCGGAGAGTCATGGGGACCAATTTATAATTTTCTAAGTTAATAATAATAATAAAAAGGTAATTTATACACCGTGATAAGATGMAAAAAMTTACTGACGTTTCAGACGCTAGTCCTTCGTCCTCTTTTACTCCCACGGCGGACTAGCGTCTGAAACGTCAGTAAGTTTTTTCATCTTTTCATGGTGTATAATTTACCTTTTTATCATTACTGTTTCATTAGAAACACYGACGCAGCTCACACTAGTTTTTAGCTAGTTATCTCTTCTAAATTAATAATAGTAGTTTAATCCATGGAGAATTTTGGCATTCTCCAATCCCTGACCATTAATGAATCTTTTGCTTGATTCCAAATCATTCTCGTCCACATTGTAGCTTTAGAAAAGGTTTGGACTCAATGAACAAAATACTACATCATGAATAGTATGTTATTTTTGGTGGAAAGCAAGGCTCAAAAAAAAATTTTCTTTATAATTTGTTTTTTGTGTTTTCACCACCATTATCAGGGCTTCTGACAGRATGCGTGGATGCAGATGCAAATRATMAGTGAATTATTCACCACGTTCAGCATAATCGTACAAATATCGCATGATTCGTCCAAAATCTTAAGGAAACTTGACCATTAAGAAGAAGATTGATTACATATCACTACATTTTGGTCAAACAAGAAATTCTTTATAGTTTACGTACYAAATATTGAAGCAATACCTAGCATTTTCAATTTAAACATACACCATCTTGATATTATGAAAACTACGAGGCGTCTTTCGTTAGGAATCAGAAAAGGGTCTGGTTACTAGCAATCCACCTTTCCGGCGCTAGCCGTCACGTGGTATAAATTGTGTTGGATTGTGTTACGGTCACCAAGAAGTTCGGACAATGTTCTCGGATTTCCATACAAATGTACTGACTTTAAATGAACTATTCATTTGGTTTGTTTAGTTAAGTTCTCTAAATACAAGTAAATGATCATTTTTCTAGCTTGATTGAAGCTTTTCATATTGCTGTTAAGAGAGCTAACTAAAGAAATCTACCTAAATTTTCTCTTTAAASTCAGTGAATTTGTATGGAAATCCRAGAACAATGTCCGAACGTTTTGGTGACTGTAAAACGATCCAACAAAGTGTTACGACGTGACGGCTATCACCGAAAAGGTGAATTGCAAAGAAAACCTTGCTTATTTTTGTCCAACAATTGAGAACACATGTAAATAATGTCATTTAGAACCTCAAATTTCCTGTAGAAGCAAATGACAAATGAAATGACACGACATATTTCATGGAYTTGGTGATTTATTCTGTGTATATTGAATTGCAAAGTTAGTTTTTAATTTTTTTTACAGAATCMTGCATTTCACCCTGCATAATTTGTCATTTTCTAGGCATAATCCAGGGGGAAATCCAGCATAATTTGAGCTTTTTCCCCGCATTCTGTCAGAAGCTCTGTATTATGTAGTTGAAATTTTACCAATTTTACCTTGGTTTGTTCCCTGGACTAAAGAGAGTCGAGAATTTGAGGACTGCATAAGTAATTGTTCTTAATTTATTCATTCAAAGAACTTGCAACCAATCAGCATCTTGACATTGGCATTTCAAAACCATTTAAAAAAAATTAAGTTACTGTAAATACCTGTCAGTGTGAAACAAAGCAGTTTTGTTATATTATCTTGCTTTTAAAATGAATGCATACATGCTAAAACAATTATAGAATGATGGCACCCGTTACAACATGTACTGTCAACTTTTCATATTATTTTTCCATATTGAAGCTTCTCTTGCCCTACAGATTAGACCATTTTAAAATTTGTACACTACCGAGCACGGTATTCCTTGATTACAGGCTCATTTACTCARGCTTAACCTCATTTCATTGTTAAACTATTCACAAATACMAACGGTAAAGTAAATAATGCACAACTTCAACAATACAAACACCTTGAAATTCCACCGACCTTCACTGGAACTCATGAATATTCTGTACAAAGTCAAGGGTAACCCTGAGCAACAGAGAACTCGAATCTTGAGTATTAAAGAAAATAACTGTTGAGAAAAAATTTAGCAAAAACATTATACTTTTTCGTAATAAACTGAACTAAATTGTACCTTTCTATTGGTAAATTATAACTTGATAATAGCAACATGGATTGCACTAAAATGCCATTTTTCAGCATATAATTTTTCATAAATTGTTTTATAGAGAATATATACAGCTGTATACATCGTACACAATGTTGTTACTGCTTAGTTTTTAAAAAAATTATTGAAAAAACTAACCCTCTCTTTATAACACACAAAAAAAATCATTGAAAACAAGATCAACTTGTTTCAGTAATTACCCCAACAGTAGTTTTTTCCAAACGTGTAACAAATTARGTATTTAGTAGCAAACGCTTTAATACTAAAATTTATTGCTGAAAATTTTCTTAAAATCCATCAGGAAGAAAAATGGATTCTAAGAATATTTTAGTGGTAAATTTTTGGTATTTTCGAAGCCTCTTTAAGTAATAAAGAGTATTTATTAGCAGGGTTAAAGTTAATAGTTTAAAGTTAGATCAGAAACTCTGGTATCATTGCGATTGCAATCACTGGATTTCAACCAGCTGATAATAGTCTTTCATTTCCAAAAAATCAAATTCACCATTTTCCATACATTGGTTCACTGGTCAAACACAAAGCATTCAGTCGAGGTTGCAAGTTTCAAATTTGAATAGTCCTTTGAAAGTACCTTGGCGCCTTGCTTGAGTGCTTTGTGCTCGACCAGTGAACCAATGTATGGAAAATGGTGAATATCTCATATGTCAAGCCAGCGCAAGGAGAAGCCAGCGCAAGGAGAGTCAATTTAGATTTAGGATCACAGGGTGGGAAAGAGCACAGTTTGAAAAAATAGCAGACTAGTATGTATACTGTAAGACTTCAGTATTGGAGGACCAAATTTTACTTCCGTCATTAAAGGGTTCTTTTCTTTTCTGTTGTTACAGAATGGTTGATGTAGGAGGGCAAAGATCGGAGCGACGTAAGTGGATTCACTGCTTCGAAAATGTGACTTCCATCATGTTTTTAGTGGCTCTTAGTGAGTATGACCAAGTACTTGTCGAGTCCGACAGTGAGGTAAGTAATAAATGATAATTAATAAATAATATAAATTATAAACAATAAGGCCAAATAAAAATATAAGTGTGTTTCCTGTTGCRCGAGAAAAATAATTGGGGTCGGCAGGCCGGATTTTTTTACTGATACAACAGTGGAAATGAGCTTACTGGGAACCCTGTGGTGCATTTGGGAATGAAAAAATATTAGGGTCGGCAAAAATCGGCAACAAAATTAGGGTCAGTTGCGCAACAGGAAACACTTTTTTTTGTTTGGCCYAAATAATAGGGGATATTAGAGTTGCATTTCATTGCCTTCAAACAACAATAGTCCACTTCAGCGTTTATCTGCCATCTTGAATAAATTATGATAATGA